CAGAAGTTCAAAGAACTTAATAATCAGCCTTTTGAAAATGTCTTGAGAACTGCAACTTAACAAAGATATTTCTGAAAAGGATTGGCAGGAAGTTTATTTAATAGAGTAATCAATGAAATACGATCAATGGAGAGCAGTTAAACTATTATGGAGTCTATGAAATTATAATGGATTCTGAGAGTCATTCTGCACTGCCTCCAACTTTCAGCAGGATATGAGTACACACTTACACATACATACAAACATACATATTTGTTGGTGGGAGTGAGGACAGTTGCATTGTAAGGAAAGAAATGCATTTTTGAATAGCCTGCGGTTACTGATTTCAGTAGGAGATGACTACTTTTGAAGACCACTTTTGAGCAGGCCAACGTTGTTTTTCTTGAACAAATACTTTCATTGTCATTAGGTGAATTTTAGTTATCCCTTGGAGATCATTCAACATTCAGTAGAAGATATAATAAATTAAAGTGGATTATATTTATTGCTTTTTAAAATTTCTATCCTGGCTTCTCACAAATAACTGAAGCAACATAAGAATCATAGAATCAAAATGGAGCCATTGTGTCTAGCCCCCTGTTCATCCAAATTAAAGCATCTTCCAAAGATGACCATCTAGTTTCTACTTAAACATCTCCAGTGAGAAAACCTGCTATCCTCCCTAGGAAATTGGTTCTGTTATCAAATTGCTCATTATTATTACCAAACTTTCAAAACTGTTATTCCATGTTTTATCTTCTGAAACTGTTTGAAACAAAGCATGGTCTTCTGCTGTGATACATTCCATTAGGTACTGAACCATGATTTCCTAAGCTAGGTAGACATATGAGTCAAATAAGCAAATAAATACTCTTTCCCTGACCCCAGCCGTCTTTTCTCAAAGCAAAACATATTGAACTCCTTCATTTGATTTCAAAGAACTTTAGTTTCCAGTCCCAAATCATCCTCAATGCCTTTAATTTATTTTCGCTAACCTTTAAATCTGATGGTCAGGGTTGATCACTATACTTGAAGTGGGGTTTAACCAGCGCATTATGGATACAATGGAATTATTCTTTTAATTTGGAAACCATTATTACTATTTCTATTGGTTCAGCCTAAAAGAATGATTGATCATATATTAATTTTGCAATCAATTAAAATTTAAAATTGGTTTCAGAAGTATTATTACTAATTTATATTTGTTTGCATATCATTAAAACAAGGAACTTTCAGCTCATTTCCTTAATGTCTATGGAGATTCTCAATCATCCAGGTCATGGTTGTCCCAAAGATGCTTTTTCAAGAGGCAACTGGACTTTCTTCTTTTTCTTTGAAGATGTTTCGCTTCTCATCTAAGAAGCTTCCAGAGCTGAAGAAGCTTCTTGGATGAAAAGCAAAACATCTTCAAAGAAAAACAAGAAAGTCCAGTTGCCTCTTGAAAAAGCACCTTTGGGACACTCATTTCCTTAACTTATCAAATATTCTTGAAATTTGTTTCTACCTTCTAAACATTAACAATCTCAACTAGTTTGTGTCATCTACACATTTAACAAATATTCCATTTATTTCTTCATACCCAGTAAAACAGCTGGAGCTAATCACCTTCTCCAGCACCTTCCCTAAACAGACAAAGTTGAGGCTAGAAATTAATTGTCTAGGACAGTGCGGTTCATGTAGAATGACCCAGATTTCATCCCTGGAAAACCCTTAGTCTGAAACTCTGAGAACAACTATCAATCAGTGCAGACAATGCAATACGGGAAAGGCACACTAAAGCAGCTTCTAATATTTCCTGCTTTTTTATGACAAATGATGTGCAGGTGTCAGATTTATGAAAAAAGATTATTATTCAACAAATATTATCCAACTTCACACAGAGAAATGGACAAATATGTGCATAAAGTACACGAACATTTTATATCTTCTTCTTCTTCTTCTTCTTCTTCTTCTTCTTCTTCTTCTTCTTCTTCTTCTTCTTCTTCTTCTTCTTCTTCTTCTTCTTCTTCTTCTTCTTCTTCTTCTTCTTCTTCTTCTCCTCCTCCTCCTCCTCCTCCTCCTCCTCCTTTTCACAATACAGTAGAGATTAGAGATTTTGGCACTAAGCTCAAAATTTTATATTCTTTTTTATACCATAAAAATAACTCAATATACTGTACTTTCTTAATTATTAATTAATCTTTTCTTAATGTTATATTGAGGACTAATTGTAAAGCTTTAGTAATTCCTTTTGTTCACTTATTAACATTATTTCTTGAAATTGTGTCTCTGTTGCAAATTAGTAAATCCATAAAAAGACTGGTGAGTTCTGTTAAGGCCATGTCCATGTTCTAACCAACCTGTGTAATATTAGCCCAGCATCTGTTTCTCTGCCACGGAATGTCCTCCAATATTTTTCTGAAGGATAAAATGCCATTTCCTCCTTTTGCCCTTGACTTTGCTCCTCTTTTTGTAGACAACCACTTTAAGCACATCTTCTGACTCCTTCCCTATTTCAATTTATTTCCTCCTGAGAATGCTTCTGGCAAAGAAATGGCTATCAGAAGAATATTTTATTTAGCAATGTTATGTAGTAGTGCAGTAAAGTTGGACCCAGATAGGTTACAGAGGATACTCATTTGAAATTACTGCTGCTAATATGACTATTGATTTTAATAGGATGTTTCTTTCTCTTTACTGTAGCTTATTAGATCTGTATTTATACTTTGATTCTTTTTTTTTAAGAATAGGGTATTTTTAAAAAAAGCTACACATTGCCTAAGGCACATGGAGATGGAAAATAGTTTCAGAATCCAATACATGAACTTTTGAAATGGCTTTTAGTGAGGACTGATTACACAGATCAGAATATTATCAACCTGCTGCATCTTTTATATTTTGTTAGGTCCAAAATTCCAATGTCCACCATAAATTCTTCATTAAAAAGCATGCCTTTGACGAGAGTTAGCTTTTTAAAAAATTATTGTCTTTTCCAATTTGGTTGGAAGTCTTTATCTACATTAAATTGCAGTTTCACCTTCCTGCCCCTTTAAATCAGAACTCATAATCCCTGTTTATAAGCAGTGACAGATTCCAGAGGAAATGAAAAGCAGGCGAGTTCTGCGTTCTTATCTTGATGGTAACTTAACATGTCACCCAGTCCTTTTAGCACCAGAGACATCACTCTGGCTTCATAATCCCCTCAGAAAATTCTTCTTGACAAATATAGACAAGTGACATCATGATAAGTGTGTATGTGTGTATGAGAGAGACTGGGGGGGGGGGATGGGGGCAGGGGGAAGAATTACATTTCCCTACAGAACTATTTATAAACCCTAGAGCATACTATCGCAAAAATAATTATTTTTTCATTAGTTGACCTACTTCTTTGTTTATCCACTAAACGAGGGCTGGCTGCCTTGTCTTTTTTTCTTCTGGAGTCTGTTGTTCATGTGGAAGCCAGTTATGATAAGGGTGGTATCTGCAGACAGCTGTCTTAATGGACACCGGACAGCCAGCATGACTAGCATTGCTGAACTATTTAGTCACTGCCAATGGAATGAAGCTCTTGTATTTCATACTGATTCAGATATTCAGTGCCGTTACACTGCAGGACTTTTCTTCTTCCCCTCACCCTCCTTCAACCCACCCACCCCCTCCAATTCCTATCCTTGACACTAGATCTGGCTAGTTAATATGCCTGGAATGTGAAAACACCTATTGCTGAACTGTTTAGATTCCTAGGTTGGAAGATTATCTCACGCAGAAGAAGTTTTTGCAAAGATATATAAACTAACAGAGCTTGGCATGTCTCAGTCAAGTTGCCTTGGACAGTAAAGGCATCTTTCTTGGGAGGAATACCGCACTGCACTATCAGCTTTTCATCAGCCAACAGCCACAATGATGATGCTCCTGGTAGAAGATCTGGTAAGCATCAAACTACCTTATGTGATAATTTTTTTTAAAGGTGGGCACCATCTCCAGTGCAATAGCATGTGGGGTGAACATCATGTCAAAGGAATTGTATCCTTTGGATAGAAGGTGAATTCATGCTAAGGGAAATTTATATTGGAATGAAAATGTCATTTGTGAATGGGTGTGGTCACAAAAATCTACTATTTGAATCTCAATTCACATATGAATATGGCCTTAGCTGAGCTGTTGTCCCATAGTTTTTAGCACTACCAACTTTATGTGACAATAATGATAATTGTTCCATGTTAAAAGATTATTATGAGGATTAGTGGAATGATGATGTGTGTAAAATTCTGAAAGCCAATAGGGAAATGTTTTTTTATTGCTGAAATTATCACTGAAGAAATGATCTATCTTTACATTAAATACATGTTTTACATTTAATAATAGTAGTTTATGTAGAAATACACTGTGCTGTAGTTTACCTTGCAAACTATTTTTTTTTTTTAAAAAAAAGCTTGGTCTTATTTAAGTGCCAACAAAATTTTAAAAAGAAGATATTTATTGTATGCCATCTTTTGCCATATTGAGACTTTCAAGATAGTTCACAAGAAAATGCAACAAAACAGTAGGAGTGTGATGGGTTCACAGCTATTAAAACAGCCCTTGTGATTCAAAGTATTCTCAGCTACGCTTGCACTATGCCAGGCACACAAGTCTGGCTCTGACTCCCATTCCAGACAACACAATAAAGAATTAAAACAGGACTTAAATGACCCAGGTTTAATAGGCCTCTAGTCACCTCTGCTGTTTATGACTGAGTTATTAATGGTAGCAAATGGCAACGAAGGAATGGAAAGAAAATAGAAGTGTTTCTGAAATAGTTGCTTATCTCAAACACTTTAGCTGTAATTATAGCACAACATATTTATTCTGGCAAATAAGCAAACCCTTTAGCTATTCCACCACTCTGAGCTTAATCTGTCATTGAATATGGGTATGACAACCTGGATTGTTGCATATTGGGTCTAGAAATAAAAAAGTGAAAGTATATGGGTAAGTCCTGTGTAATTTCCTGAGTGTATTATTATTGAATTTAATTGGATTGAACATAACTGTGGTTTGATCTGAAAGAGATCTTTCATAAAATGTGGATTTCTATATTTTCAATGTATATATAGTTTGTTAGCAACTCGCAAACAAAGCTGGTGTGGACTCAAGAACAATGTGGCAAATTTTGTGTAGCCCAGGAGATTTTTTTTATTTCTCAAACACAGGACCCCAAGTCTCTTTAAGCTTTTTCTAAGCCAGAAAGGATTTCAAAAGCAGATGGCATAGGAGTCTGTCAGTCTATAGAGAGTAGGGAGGAACAAGGGAGTAAGATATTTAAAAAAAACAAACATGCCCCATTGCATTCTTGGATGGATTCTCCACCATTTCTCTTCATCCAGCTAAACATAGTCGTGACTAAAACCCACTGGAAGCACCGCGATTTATAGAAGTCACACTGAGTTGTTTCAGTGATTTCAGTGAGGTATAGCAATCTCTAACTTTAGCTGCTGCCTACTGCGAATGTTGCAGGCTTGGATTTTAAATTTAATACAACTGTATTAAGGGCACACATTTTTCCTTCAATATTCTGTGTTCTAATTCAAGCTCACTCCCTTTTCTATCTGTCTGTTCTGAGGCCAGTGCTTAGTTAGAGGTGGCTAGCAATCATACCATTAGGGCAACAACTGCTTAGTTGAGGCAACCACAGTTAGTCCTCAACTTATAACAGTTCATTTAGTGACTGTTTGAAGCTACAACGATACTGAAAAAAGTGACTTATGACCCTTTTCACACTGACGACCTTTGTAGCTTCCTCGTGGTCACACAATCAAAATTCAGACACTTGCCGACTGGCTCACATTTATGATGGTTGCAGTGTCCCTGGGGTCATGTGATTCAACTTTTGCGACCTTCTTTCAAGCAAAGTCAACGTGGAAGCCGGATTCCCTTAACCAACCATGTTACTAAGTTAACAAGGGCAGTGATTCACTTAACTGTGGCAAGAAAGGTTGTCAAATGGGGCAAAACTCAACAATTGTCTCACTTGGCAACAGAAATGTTGGGCTCCATTGTGGTCATAAGTCGAGGACAACCTGTAGCATTTCTGGTATTAGTTAAGCAATTGTATGGCTAATTCACATTAATATCTAAAAATCTTTCCTGACATCACTCAAAGCTTCTGGGCTTCCATTGTTGCAGGTCACACTGCTCCTACGATGGCAAGCATCCTAATGTGAGTGTCAGATGTTGCAACCCAATACGTCCATGGTCCACAGTGGCAATCAGTCTACAGCTGGGGTCTTCAAACTTGGCAACTTTAAGACTTGTGGACTTCAGCTCCCAGAATTCCTCAGCCAGCGTGCCACTTAGTCTCTTGATAACTATCCTACTAGTGCTATTTTGTCCTATCTCCCAACAGATTTGAGTATGCTATTCTTAAGGAATAATCACAGTCATCTACTTTTCTTTCAGGTTTCTCTTTTGCAATCTGTTGCCTCTACTGTTTCCTTTTTTTCAGCATCCTTTCTTCTGAATACCCTGATGATTAACCTTTCCCACAAATACTTGATTGCAAATATACTATTGCACTCAGCAGTACAGCTTATGCTTTCTTACCAGTTCACTTACCATTTCCTCAAGGCTCTGCCTGTCATGACAATCTTGGGACATCGATTTCACTTTTTTTTGTCAACAAGTTCTTTCTGTGGTTGTACTGTACAATCTGTTTTTTATAAGTTTTCTCCATGTCTTGGTTTGTCAGGGACAACCTTTTGCAACTCTAATCTTAAGACACATGTTTTCTTTGATAGAAGACAGGCAAAAAGACAGAAGGTAGAGAAACGGGGGATTTCCTTCCGGAAGACTTCAGAGATGGAGAATATGAAGCTACAGTGAGATTAGAGAAACAAGAAGACCTGAAGACAATCATTGATCCCTCAGTAACACAGCGCAATCTGACTTATAAAGAAGAGAAGGAGCTGCAAGCTGAGGTAAAATAATGAGTTTTTATCTATCTTCTGGGAATATTTCAGCATTGTTTTGATTTACTGTTGTTCTCTGCTTACAATCATATTTGAACAAGCCTACATAGTCTGGTAGCACTATGCTGTATCAGGATTAGGAAAAAATGTTCAGTCAACCTTAATTATAATGGGGAAACCAGGAATTTGAGACTTGAAAAAAACTAAAAGGATGAGCTTTTAAGAATCCCTGGGGAATGCCTAGTCTTTGCATTCATGATGTAACACAATTTTCAAGTTGGGGAAATTTTGTTTCGAAAATCTGGACAATGTCTACTACTCATGGAGCATCAGATAAGATTGACCACAGAAACTACATGATACTGGTCCATATGAGTATCATTCAAAACACTCCTCAGATGCTATAGGTGGTGGCAGGTTTATTTGCTTTCTTATCTAGTTACCTATAAAAAGGAATATCAGATTAGAAAACTCAAATGTTTGTAGTTCTGCTCCTAACATACAGCAAATGATTGTCTGAATACCCTTATCCAAAACAAACAAACATACAAACAAACCAAATCTCACTAGGACAATCTTCCTCAAACTAGCATCCTCTAGACCAGGCATGTCAAACTGCTGGCCTGTGGGCCGGATGCATCATACTGAAACCATGCCCACCCCATTGTTGGCAATGGGGAAAAAGTCACGATACATAGCGCAACGTCATGTGATGTCGCGAGTTTGACATGTCTGCTCTAGATATATTGGGTCAGAACATTCCAGAAGTCCCAAGAGAATGGAACTCAAGAAATTGATGTCCTAACAGATCTGCAGGATGATGAGGTAGAGAGAGACTAAAGCTTTTAGTAGCAAATCATCAGACTAGAACTTAAATGGAAAAAATTGTTGGAAAAAAATATCCCACTGATTTACAGATGTAACTGATATTGCTCTTGGTTTAATGTAAATGATCATAATGTTAATCATAATCAATAATGTCTGAACCCATGGCAAAGGGTCTGATATGCTCCCCCTGGATAGATTCAGAAGCATTAGAAGAGAAAAACTGATCAGGATTTGTGTATATGTTAGTCTACTGTCCCTCTGAGAATGCGCAGGAATCAGCTTTTGTGTTGTTTAGTTATTTATTGTATTAAATCAATTTACATAGACACTCAATCAACATGCAACATAGGATGGCACACACAATTAAAACAGCAAACAGCAACCTGAAAAAGACATTAAAAGACAGTAAAACTTTTTTGTGCTAGAGATACAGTAATTTTAAACAGCCCTGAACAGTTGAAAACAAATTAAATGAATACAAAATCTTCTGACCTAGTATCTGGGTTAACATGGTGGATAGGATCTCCAGATCCTTCCAAGAGGCAGGCAGGGTGGGAGCCATCTAAATCTGAGGGGGAAGGCTCTTCCATAGGGCAGGCATGGCAATCAAGTGGGCTTCTGGGTGCTGCTACATGAGACTGTTTAAGTGAGAAGATCCAGAACAGATGTTCTCAAGTAGACAAACTTATTCAGAAACAGGTTCACCCTGCAAGTAACCAAGTCTTGTGGCATGAAGGGCTTTAATGTGTTACATTATAGATCAAATTGAGAAATGTATTGATTCAGCCAAATGATATTTGGCTAGAACATGCTCCTGAAATTCTCCTGCTAGTCCTTCAAAGGTAAGATCTGTAGATGAGTAAGCAGCAACAATCTGTTACATGATGCATTTATGAGTTACTTGAGAACCATTTAGGAGTATGTTGTGTCTGCTTTAAATACAAGCTGACACACCTTTCTTACAGGATAGCAGCTCAAGTGATTTTTCACAAGGTGTTAATGAGTGCAACATCAAGTGACAATCTATTCCATAATGTACAATAGTTATTGCACCAATGGCCCTTTGCATATTTTCTTTTGGAAGATAATTCTTGATCAACTAATTTCAAAATGCATCTTTACTACAATCTCTCTCCCCCACCCCACTTCTTCAAACCAGTCATGATTCCTCATGACTACATAGACAAGTCCACACAATTTTCTCAACAGCATTTTCAGAATTGGCTTGCCCTTGCTTTCTTCTTATGGCTGAGAGAGAAGAACTGCCCGAAGTCACCCAGCTGGTTTTGTGCCTAAGCCAGGATTAGTCCACATGAGTCTCTCGCTTTAAAGTCTAACACCTTGACCCAATATAGACTAAACTGGCTCTCAGCTCTCCCTCTAGATTCCCCCCCAAAGTTACTCTTATCACAACTTTTTATAGAGTAAGTTTACCTCTGCAATCAAGTATTCAACCTTCTAATCTAATATATTTAGTGATGCATTTATTAGCAGTGCAGATGCACTGTTCCTAATTACAAGTATAATTATTGTACAAGACCTCATGTCCAACATTCTCTTTACTGAGATCTCAGGAAGAAGATCACTTTCAGAAACAAAATCCATGGTTGTTTCTACTTCTCAAGGCTATTTTCTGTGCATGCCTATTGACAACATAGTGTCATGTGTCTGAGTAACGAAACACTTAAGAGGACTTTCAGGCATTTTTTCTCCTAAAAGCATTTATTTAAGATTACAGCAGCGTATTTGCAGCGTTGACACATAGCTTTTAAAATCTGTACTCCTGCACATCAGCTGGACACCTAAGCTTATGGCTAGTGAGCTTAAGAAATCCAAATAAAAAACCCCAGTAATCTCACAATTAAAACTGATGCAACCATTGGATTCCTTTAGAGAAATGTACTCATTGAACACTCTGAGACGTAATTGCTGGACGCTGCCCTGGAGCATCAGCGAGGTGGGGGAGAGACAGGGATACTAAAAGAAATCAAGAGAAATCAAGAGGGAATGAATCCTTTCCTCCTTTTAACATAGTTGGAAATGCTTGAGATTTCTTGAGAGTCATATATTGATAATACTATATACTGCGCTTCTTTCATGACAGTCAAATGCAAACCATCTTACTGTATTGTTCATTCCTTTTGTCCAGCTCAAAAAAAAGAAACTAGAGGCGAGAACAAAGCTTGAAAATTTGGAAGACCTTGAAAAAATCATCACTCTGAAGAAAAGGAAAAAAGTTAAGAAGGTCAAAGTGCTGGTTGACAAGGAGCCTGAGCAAGAAGCTATAGTACGTTCAAGTGACAAAGTATTTTAATTTCTTCTGTTCTGTATTTAGTGGCATCCCCAAATAATGATGATCTCTTTCTGTTCTATATCAGACAGGACCTGTAGATGTCCCCACATTTTTAAAAGCTGCCTTGGAGAACAAAATGGCAGTGATTGAAAAGTATTTAGCAGACAAAGGGGATCCAGATGCTTGTGATGAGGTATGTTGGCTTTGACTGATTTCTGTACTATTTGTTTGATCCCAGTTAAACAGTTTCCCCCAAGGATACTAGAAGCTGTAGCTCAATGGATTGTTGCCTTTGAAACATCCTAAACTTTCTACCTCCAGTTTCCAGGTTTTTCTGGGAGGGGAGAAAACAACTTTCAAAATAGTTTTGTAGTGTCATTTTCTTAGAGTGTAATCCAGTCTTTCTTCCACCAACACTGCAAAAAAAAAGTCTGACTTAAGCATTACATCCAATAGCAGTTCAGCAATTCCAAAAAAGTTCCACATCCGTTTGCACTATTCAGGTGACCCTGAAGGCCCAGATAAACCTCCAAGTGGCATCAACAGCTCTCAGAATGAGTGCCAATGACCAGATGACTGCAAGGAATAAATCCTTCCATTCCCCACCATTCAGTCAGAACTGAAGAAGTTTCTTGGATGAGAAGCGAACCGTCTTCGAGGAAAAACAAAGAAAGTCTAGTTGCTTCTTTTTTTTTTTAATTGAAAATTTTATAAAATTTTACAATATAAATCCCCCCTCCCCCCAAACCCAACCCTCCCTCCCTCCCCCCCTCACTTCCCAGAGCCAATCACAGGATTAACAATAAAATAATCATAATCTAACTAACACTAATCAACTATTAATCTAACAAATCTATAACTTCCTTTAACTCTCTTTTAAAACAAATGTACAATTATTAAATACCATCATTTTAACATAGTTTTAAATATTAAAAATCAGAAGTTCATTCAAAAACCAGATGACATTTTTTTGTTCCATATTTCGACTCAATATAAACAATCCATCTTCTCCAAACCAATATATATCTTTCTTGTGAGTAATCCTTCACATAAGCGGAAATCTTGGCCATTTCAGCTAAGTTTGAGACTTTAAACTACCCAATCTTCTATAGTAGGTAAACCTTTCATTTTCCAATGTTGAGCAATTAACAATCTTGCAGCCGTTATAAGATTTAACATCAACTCCATTTCTTTTGCATCCAAATCTTCCAAAATACTCAACAAAAATATCTGTGGTTTAAATTTTATCTTTTTCTTAAAAATATTTTGAATGTTCCACCAAATCTTAATCCAAAATGCTTTAACCACCTTACATGTCCACCACATATGAAAATACGTTGCATCTAAATTTCCACATCTCCAGCACTTGGGTTGTAAGTTAGAATACATACAAGACAATTTCTGTGGATCCAGATGCCACCTTGACCTATAATTTCCATCATATCAATTACTGACTCTAGCGGCTGAGTTAATGTTAACACCAAATCATCCGCAAAAGCTCTAAGCCTATAATCTATTTTATTAACCTTAATTCCCTTTATAATGGAGGACTCCCGGATTCTAATTAGCAAAATCTCCATTGTTAAAACAAAGAGTAGTGGTGATAGTGGACATCCTTGTCTGGTTCCCTTTCCAATTTTAAACGATTCAGTTAATCCCCCATTAACTATAATCTGAGCTGACTGTTGTTGATAAATGGCTTTAATAGCAGACAAAAATTTATCCCCCAAATTCATTCTTTCTATTACTTGAAACAAAAAAACCCCAATCCACTTGATCAAATGCTTTTTCAGCATCCAAAAAAATAAAAGCAGCCGGAATTTGGTTATTCTTATCCAAATATTCAATTAAATTAATAATTTGTCTTACATTATATTTCATATATCTTCCAGTAATAAATCCGGACTGATCCCTGTGAATCAATTGATGTAACACTTGCATTAATCTATTTGCCAATACCTTTGAGAAAATCTTGTAGTCCGTGTTCAATAATGATATAGGTCTATAATTCTTAGGTTGTGTCAGTTCCTGACCCTCCTTTGGAATTAAAGATATAAAGGCAGTTCTCCATGATGGAGGTATTTCTTTGCCCATCAAGATACTATTAAACAATTCCTTTAATGGCCCTATCATTTCCTCAGACAACATCTTATAATAAATTGCTGTTAATCCGTCTGTACCTGGGGTTTTGCCAACTTTTAATTGCTTAATTGCCACCTTAATCTCCAACGTGATTAAACAATTCATTTTTTCTTTTTGACTATCTGACAACCTAGGTAGGTGTACCTGCTGTAGATACTTATCTATATCCTCATAATGTATATTTTCAGAAGCATATAACTTTGAATAAAAATCCAAAAAACTCTTTTTAATCAAATTTTGTTGAAATGTCAATTTACCATTATAGTCTATTTCCTCTATAATCCTTGACTTTTGCTTCTTTCTTAAATGGTAAGCCAACCACCTTCCAGGTTTATTTGCATTACAAAATGTATTATGTTTCATATACCTTAAACTAGTTGCAGTCTGATCCGCTATTAACATATTAAATTGATCCCTAAGTACCTTTAAAGATATTTTCAACTTATTATCCAATGGGTTTAGCATAAATGCCTGCTCCTTTAATTTAATTTCCTCCTCTAACTCTTTACGTTTTTGCATTTGTGTACGCCTATGAAAATTATTCATATAAATCAAATTACCTCGCATATATGCTTTANTTACTTGCATCCCAGACCATTGAAATTGAAGTACCTTTAAACATATTTAACAAAAAAAATTCAATTGATCTCTACATTTCTGCAAATTAATATCATGTCTAAATAAATTTTCATTCAATCTCCAAGTTCTTCTATTCCGTTCTTCAACAAGTAGTTCCATCCATACAGGACTATGATCTGACAGTGTTCTGGGAAAAATCTTAATATTCTTCACCCTAGAAGAAAAATCATTAGTAGTTAAAAAAAAGTCAATTCTAGAATAGGATTGATGCCTATCCGAAAAAAAAGTAAAATCTCTTTCTTCCATATTTCTCTCTCTCCAAATGTCTCATAATTCCAGTTCATCCTTCAAATCAAAAAAAGTTTTAGGCAATAAAGAGTTAAATGTTTTACAGGAACCTTTCTTGTCTCTTCTTGCATCCAAAACACCATTCCAATCTCCCATCATAATAACCGAGTTATAATCCATTTGATTTAGTTTCCGATGTAGCAATGTATAAAACTTTTTCTGTTGTTGATTTGGTGCGTACAATCCAACAATCAAACATTTTTTCCCATTCAACAATATGTCAATAAAAACATATCTTCCTTCCAAATCAGATTCAATCAAGTTAGGCAACAACTCACTCTTGACATAAATAACTACCCCACCTCTCTTCTGAGGTGCGGGCGTTATAAAGTGTGCACCCAACCGTGAATTAATCAAGAATTTTTGATCCTTTGCTGTAATGTGAGTTTCTTGCAAACAAATAACATCATTTTTATGTTGTTTCAAATAATGAAATATTTTCTTCCTTTTCTGTGGAGAATTCAAACCATTAACATTCCATGTCAGGAACCTTGCCATCTTTAGTGGCAGTGAGCCTCTGGAACGCTCCTTGCAGATCAGCTATCACTGATCTTTTCGGTCTCGCTCCCCCCACTGGCTCTGAAATTACTTGCTGTGTTATAGGTGTCACCTCCAGTTGTTGTTGCTCTCTCTCTTTGCGTCTATGAGCTGCACGCGTCATTCTCTGTGATTTTGGGTCTTCTTTCATTTCCATAGATTGCTGCTTGACTTGGCCTTGTTCTTGTAAATCTTTACTTAACGATGATGATGTAGCTCCTTCTACAATTTTACCTTCTCTGATTCTTTCCTTCCTGGAATCTGAAGGTGGTGGTGAACCCGGTTTCAATATAGAGATATAAAAATCCCTTGCCTTTGCCACAGTATTAAGCCGATAGCGGGTTCCCATATAAATGACCATTATCCCAATAGGTATCTCCCATCTAAATTGAATTTGCCGCTTCTTCAATTCTTCAGCCAAAAAAGCAAAATCCTTCCTTCTTTTAAGTATTTTAGATGGTATCTCCTTCAAAATTATAACATCTTGACCTAATACTTGAAATTTTTGATTGTAGAAAGCTTGAATAATTTGATTACGAGTAGACTTTCTAGAAAAATAAATGACCACATCTCTTGGAAGGTTCCTCTGTCTTGCAACCCATGAATTAACTCTAAAAAAAATTTCAACATCTCTCATAATTTCTTCAGGTTGGCAGGACAGAACCCCAGCCAGATCTGCTGCAATTTCCTCCAATTTCTCTTGAGCATTCTCTTTAAGCCCTCTTATTCTCACTGCATATTCCATCTCTCTATATTGTGACAAGATGACCTCATTCTGAATTAAATCCACATTCTCCTCCACTTTCTCCATTCTAAAATCCAAGCACTCAAGATTTTCTTCCACTTCATCCACCCTTCCTTCAATGTGTTCTGCATGCCCAGCCAAGCCTTGCAATGCTGACAATATGTCTTCTCTCATCTCTACATTCTTCTCTTCAAGCTTCTTTTCAAACAGGTCTTCCATTTCTGCTCTTATTTGTCTTGTAGTATTCTTTAATGCATCTTGAATATCTTTTAATGTAAGTGCTGGGGCTGGGGCTGGGACTGGGGGAGAAGGTGGAGGACTCCTTATTTTAGGTGGAGGACTCCTTGATTTAGTCTGCTGTGGTATTTGGACAACAGAGGGGGAAATAATCTTCTGAGGAACAAAGGCTCCACGCTTAGAGGCCATTTTACTTTTTTTTTTCTTTTCCTTTCCCTTCTTATATTTTTATAATATAAAATCTTGTAAAAGTCTTTTAAAAATACTTTAAACTTTTGTAAAAACACCCAGCAACGATAGAAACAAAAAAAACCCTATTCCATCAATACAATGTAGCTAATAGAAAGTCCAAGAGAAAGTTTCTAAAAAGTGAAAGTCTCATATGAATTCACCGCAGAGGAGAAAAGAAACGCCCTTCCGCAGCCATATTCTTTGCTCTTCAGATTCAATTGAAGAAAGCAGAAGAAGATATTATAAATTTAGAGTTAAGGTTTCAACAAAAATCCCCATCAGATCTTCCTGGCAGGCTCTGTCTGCCTTTGAAAATTACACTCACGCTCTCCTTGAAGGCAGAGATTGAATCCGCATCTTGCTTCGAACGAGCAGTCGAACGAAGGCAGCCCAAAGAATGGAGAAGTCCCTAGCTCCGGGGGAGCTCACCTTCACCCCCACCACTTTAAAAGTATGGGGGCTAGAGAGCTCTACCCCTACTAGAGAAACTCACCTCTCCCCCTTTGCCCGGGGAAGAGGATTCCGAACCACGGGACAGCTGTTGAACGCTGTTTCCCGCGGCTCACATTTCTTCGGGGAGGGCAGCCTATGGAGAAGCTGCCATCGGCGCCGGCGATTCAACCGGAAGTCCCGAAAGTCTAGTTGCCTCTTGAAAAAGCACCTTAGCAACTGCCTCCATAGACAGTTACATCCAATACTTAATATTTTTCTCTCATCTCTCTTTCTCTCCCCTCCCCCCCGGTAATTCTATGGGCGAGATCTCTCCACATTTTCCGATGTTGCACTTCTTCTTTGAGTTGTTCTATGCTCTGGCTGGTGTCATACATAAGAACACACAATCTAGATGGAAATACTTAGTTAATATTAGGCTGATCCAGAAAGCTAAACAGTATTACCTCTGCTAGTATTTATATGATGGATCATCAGGAAATCTGAGGGCTATAGGTTAGAAAATCACCAGGACAAAGAGGGAGGGAGAAATAATGCTTTAAAAATAAAAAAGCAGTTGTTTATTATTGATTGTGCTATCTGTCTTTCAATTGACAGTACAAGCGTACCGCCTTGCACAGGGCATGCTCACAAGGACATTTGGCAATTGTGGAAAAGTTAGTAGCAGCCGGGGCTCAACTTGAATTCCAGGATATGGTAAGCAGAAACTGCATGCATTAATACTGTTCTTCAGGCTGATTCTCACAAACACGTAGAGTACCTGACAGAATTATGAGAAAGAGAAGGAGCCCATTTGCCTATCCATCATTATTTTTAATAGGGTATGCTAACACAAGGAAAGAGACAGAATTAACGTATCATCTCATATCACCTGGCCTCCTGGTGTCCTGTGGTGGTGGTGGTGGACATGTCTTTAAAATTAACTTGACTATGAACGAAGCCACACTGGGACTCTGCTTCATTCATACTCTCAATCACATTAAGCCAACTCTTGTAGACAACAAACTGTCCTCTCAAGTTGACTTTCAGGTTGACATGACGAAGTGAGCAGGATAAGAGGTGTGAGTTGTTTGGTGTGGGGCCAGCAGATAAGGCTCCACCCCTGCTATTCATCCTAGCAATGCATACCTCTGGTCAGATGTAATTGCAAAGGAGACTGTTGTTTACTGCACAGTACAATTTATAAAGGGGACTTCATGACAAGTTGCCATCTAAGGGTATGCTTCTGCTGCAATGATATACACATGACTTTCTCGGCTTCCATGCCAAGTTAAGTGCTTCTAGTCAAGTGGTAGGGCTTTCTGACCTATTGCCTGTGTGATTAAATTAGTCCAAGAGAAATTGAACATATCCAGAGAGCACCAAAGGGGGGGGGGGCTGTAGCTTAATAATCAAAGGTATGTTTTATACAGAGAACTAGATGAAGAAAGGCATTTGTTTTTGACACTAAGAAGTAATACAGGAAGCCCTCGACTTATAACAATTCGCTTAATGGCCGTTTGAAGCTAAAACAGCATTGAAAAAAGCGACATGGCCATTTTTCACACTTATGACCATTGCACCCTAGGGTCACATGATTTACATTCAGATGCTTGACAACCGACTCACATTTACAACGGTTGCAGTGTCCCGGGGTCATGTGATCACCTTTCTGACAAGCAAAGTCAATGGGGAAACCAGATTCAATTAACAACCGTGTTACTAATTTAGGAACTGGAGTGATTCACTTAACAAATGTGGCAAGGAAAGTAGTAAAATGGGGCAAAACTCACTTAACAAATTTCTCACTTAGCAACATAAATTTTGGGCTCAGTTGTGGTCGTAAGTTGAGGACTACTAGTCAAAAACAGAATATAGTAACCCGGAATAAAGCTGTGTTTATGTTCCTCAATGAGCACAGCTTAATCAAGTTTTGGTCACTAGGAATTACTGTTTATATTCAGGAGTCACCATGATCTTAGAATGATCGTCTCCTTTGTCTTAACATGTTGACTTGTGTCCAGAAAAATCTGGATTTTTTTATTGAAAGAACTTTCAGTTTTAGTTAATCTCTGAGTCCAGGAACCTGAAAAGTTTTTTCCAATCGAGAGGATGACCAGCCAAGAGCCTGTATACTTTTAAAACAGGTCTACGCTTTCATTATTCCTACATTATTGTAATTTCCTGTCTTTTGTTTTGTTTCTTCTGATGTAGCTCGAATCAACGGCTATTCACTGGACGTGTCGAGGCGGAAATATAGAAGTCCTGAAATTCCTCTTAAACAAAGGGATAAACAGAAATGCCAAAGACAAGGTATTTTATAATTGTCCCATAAATTTGGTTTAGGGAAGATATGAATCTGGAACCTGCTTGTATGAAATTCTTTTCTCCATCCAAGTTTATTGCCTACAGTTATGGATTATGCTTTTTTCCACTTTTTCCTTTCCACTAGTTGCTCAGCAGTCCTTTGCATGTGGCAGTAAGGACAGGCCAGTATGAATGTGGAGAACATCTCATTGCATGTGAAGCAGATCTCAATGCCAAAGACAGAGTAAGTATACTATCTCCTTCCTTGGTAACAGATAGAGTAGGTGGTGTTAGAATGCCCATCAGAAGGCAATACTAAAAAAAAAAAAGAACCTAATGGTGGCCTTTTGTGCTTGTAAAAGTGGACCAAAAATTATTCAAATATAGAGGAAGAGAGTTGAATAGTACCCCATGAGTACCATTAATAGAGATGACTATCAACCAAACAGCCATTTTTTATATTTTATGCCAGGGCCATGAATTTTTAGTAGAGGTAAACTTACATCCATAACTGAGCCAGAATTTCGATTGTAAGTCATTGTGATTGTAAATATCATGTCAGTAAATCTGCTGAATAAGGGACTAAATGTCTAAAAGTGAAGATGTTCACCCGATATCTCTGTCCGCAGCCTGACCCAAATCCATATTCCCCCAAAAGTTGTAGCACACCCATAACTGTCTAGAAACTAAGCTTATGAACCAACTTGAACCAACATGCCCTCCGCCCGCACCCCACAGCATCATCTGCACACTATGGGGTGCGAGGGCGGAGTCTTGTCCCTGCTGCCCGGCTATGTCCTTGGATGTGCTGCTCCGTGCGGGCTGTGCTGGGGGCGACTCTCCTCCAGGAGGGTTGCTGGTGAGGAGGGGGCCGCGGGGGGAGGCGGGACTGGGGCGACGGCGCATGTGCCCCCAGAGACGGCTCCAAGTGCCGCCTCTGGCACGCATGCCATAAGTTCGCCACCACTGCTATAGGAATTCTAGCTACTTAAGGAATGGTAGTGTTCTTTTATAACAGGATAGCAATAGTGTTCAGGATGCCTTCTAACCAGTCATTCCAACTCAGTGCCATGATTTCATACCTCTTTTATAATAGCTTTTGGTTGCATTTTTTGTTAAGTATTGTCAAAATTGTGCACAACCAGCCTCCAAGACTGTCATATTCAATTTTCCTTCCTTCTCCTAGGAGGGTGATGCTCCAATGCATGATGCTGTGAGATTAAATCGATATAAAATGATTCGACTCCTGATTCTCTATGGGGCTAACCTGAATGTAAAGAACATTGTAAGTTCCTCCTTTTGCAGTTCCTCCCCTCCCCCCACTGTTGTGAAACTGAAGTCACCTAGAAGCGCTGAAACCAGACGATATAGATAACATTGAAATCAATTGTATTTATAGTAACTGTGATTCAGTTTAGTTTCATTTACTGCATCTATTTTAAATATGATGGATCAAGCCCACAAATTGCAAATTACATGTCAGATTATACTCATTACTAACATACTGCAAAATGAATACATTACAAGGCTTTTCCTCCCAAAACATCTTCCTACTGTTTTGAAATATATTTTTCTGTTGATTTTTATTCCAAATGATTCTGTTATATTCAGAAAAGACAGAATTTAAAAAAGGCTATTTTAAAGACGGAATTCAATGCTACAGGTAGTCCTCGACTTACGGTCACAATTGACTCCAAAATGTCAATTTTGCTAAGCGAGACAGTGGTTAAGTGAGCTTTGCCTCATTTTACGACCTTTCTCGCCACAATTAAGTGAATCGCTGCAGCTGTGAAACTAGTAACACAGTTGTTAAGTGAATCTGGCTTCCCCATTGACTCTGCTTGTCAGAAGGTTGCTAAAGGGGATCCTAGGACACTGCAACCCTCATAAATATGAGCCAGTTGCCAAGCGTCTGAATTTTGATCACGTGACCACAAGGAATGCTGCAATGGTCATGAGTGTAAAAAACAGCCATAAGTCACTTTTTTCAGTGCCGTTGAACGCTCACTAAATGACCTGTAAGTTGAGGACTACCTGTATTTTGTGGAGGGAAGCATTGGCTATATTCCTACAAGAGCATGGCATGATTTGGGCAAATCATGCCAGATCTGGGGTGCAAAAAATCCCTCTGCCTAACCTTATGAAGCCATTTGGCTTTGAAGCTAAAAAGGTGCTTCAGAGGGGATGTTTGCTTCTTCTGTTAGCACCCCATTAAGGGAGCAACCCCTTTCATGGTCTGGCATTCCCTGGAGAAACGTATTTGGAGAAGCACAAATATTCTGTAATAGATTTGCCACACACTACTGCTACCTGTTCAGATGTGTATTCACTACCATAACAACTTTAAAAATGACATGGTTCCCTTAAGGAGATGCCAACAGCTGCAGCGTACATGTCTCTTCTAAAGTATTTTCTCATTCCATCTCCTTTATAAACTGGGATTTCTGCACTATTTATTTGTTAATGTGGCTTTCGTTAGGGCTGAAGATTTTATACAGAATATGCAACCCAAAGCGGAACTTTATTATAATTTGGAAACATCTTGTAGAAATTTATCCTAAAACTAATTGAAACCACTGCAGGAAGACATGCTTGCAAAATGAGTAAAAGAAGTCCCTTTTTTCCTATTTGATGTCCTTCCATATTGCAGTGCCTCACTGCCTTTCTAGATTTGAGCATTTATGCAGGTGGGTCTGGTTCTTTGGGGCAAATATAGGCAACTGAATAAAATAGTTTAAAAAAATTATTTAAGTAGGCAGATTTATGAGAAAATAATTAGATTTTCTGCTGGATACCACTGGTAGGATCTGGATTGACCATCTGGAACAGAAGATATCCTTTTGTGGTATTTTGGTTAGCCCTAATAAAGATACTATCTTTATTGTGGATTTTGAGTGAAGTATAGGTGATAGATCAGGGGTCCTCAACCGTGGCAACTTCCACAAGTTTTAAAGTTGCCAAAGTTGGAGACCCCTGTGATAGAATGAATAAGAATTTATGGCAAAGCTACAGCACATACTACTATATACTGTATGCTGGAAGCACATTCGTTGTTCAGATAGAACAGATAGAGCATGAATTTTAGAAGTGTGAAACACCTATCTTCTTGAACAAGTTTACTCAATGTGACCAGACATATGACAGCTCTCTCATTTTACCCTACAAGAAATTGATCAAGTCCAAAAAATAAAAGCTAGCAAAAATCACATTCCAAGAAATATAATCACATTTTCTTGACTGTCTTGCATAGGAAGGGAAAACTCCAATGGATCTTGTGCTACAGTGGCAAAACGGCACCAAAGAAATCTTCAACAACCTGAAGGAGAATGCTTATAAGAGTTCTCCCATAGATACATTCTGAAGACCAGACTCAAAGCTTCAGTGAATGACCGTTTCTTTGCAGATGGCGCAATTATCAGCATAAAGAACAATGTGAAGAATAGTTCCTTGATACGTGATGCCATCGTTGCCTGATCGAGCTAGTGTTTTGCTTTTGGAATAAGTCTGAGGACAAAAGGTTCAAAGGCACAGCTTGAGTGTTACAATTCCACTGATTTCAAGGGGTTTTTTTTATTTTAATATTCCTATTTATATATTGTATTCCATTCTTTCCTTTTTCTTGGATGAAGTTTCTTTGGTTGTTGTTTCTCTGCTGATCTTTCAAAAAGTCATGTTGATACTAGAGTTGTAGATTACTGAAATGATAATCAGCCAAGAGCATTTATACAAGACAATCACGTTTCTGAATGTATTAGCAACTTCACAAGAAGCTTCTCTCCCCCTAACTTAACTCCAATGTAATTAATTTTTAAGTGTCACCCAACTTTTCTGCTGAATTGCTATTATCAGAGTAAACTGTTAAAGCCAAGAACGGGGGCTGGAGAACAGAGGTATGGAAAGCAATGAAATTAGAAAGGAACAGTGGAAGTAGAATGAAAAAGGAACAGATCTGGTTTATTTTAAAGTTTATTAAGGGTAGACCAGTTTTACCCAAAATAGTGGAAAATGAACTACAAAGTTCAAATTAGAAAGTTACATAAAGGAAGGTATTGAAGTGAATTAGAAGAAAATGCAGTTATTTTTACATGCTCGGTAATGCAAGAAAAGTTCTGTATATTTCTATGGCTTTTTATGTACATTTTGTATTAAATTCCCTATAAGATTTAAATAAGAGAATGGCTTGTTCTGCCTGAATACTTTACTTATTTGTCTGAAGATTGTTATGTTCCATCAGCTAACAAAAAAATGGTTGCCAATTCTCAGATAAGCATTAGAGGTTATAAACAGTTAAAACTATGACAAATCTTTACCTTCTCAAATCAGATAGCCAATATTCAAAATTACTGACACTGATTGGATCAATTGCACCAAACTATGATACCATTTGTTGAGCTGTGGCTTAGTATTTGGGGTCAATTATGGTACTATTGTCAATGTTCCGACTGACGAACCCAACTGAGCAAGCACTGTCGAGACAATCCAATCTCTTAATGCAAAACTTTATTGAGTAAATCATTTCGGCACAGATGAAAGCAAAACCAGCTCTGGTTATTTCCTGCACAAACCACTATAATTATAGAATCCTCCCTCACCCTATTAGTGCTGGTCACACGGTCCAATTGAGTGTCAAAATATTGTTATGAGAAAGTGTCTCTGTGGGTTTGCAAACACCTGCTGAAACGTCCTTGGTTCATTCGGGCTGACTTATTGTTTGGAGCCTGCATTCCATTTCCCACTCTCCTCTCCCCTAGCGCATTGGCAAGCTGGGAAGCAATAATAGTGGCAACATCATACCTGGGCTTCGAGCTTGACAATTATATTGTTACTGGCTTAAGAAGGTTACATGAACAAAGCCCATGGTGGTGCAATCTGAGCAATTAAAGTTTAAGTAAACCATGGCTTGCCACGATACTAAATACCGTTGAGGCTCTCTGGTCCTCCTCATCTCTGTAATTATGGTGAAAACCCACAGCAGTTTTGAATGGGTGCTGAATGAAAGCAGACTGAATACAAGATGACCAGTAACCACTGTGAAGGCAGCATATTGAGGTGGTATGGCCATACGCAAGCCATGAATGAATTTGAATGAATATGTAGGTTGAGATGCTAGATCAATAAAAGTTGCAGCTCTATGGAGTTGATGAGATCCTCAAAAGGAGATAAAAAGGCAATGTATGGCAGTGGAGGAAAGATAGTTTGCAATGAAAGAAACATACTGAAGGATATAGAGTAGTGAAGTTGGCATATACTAGAGTTAACTTTGCTTTTCTATCTGCTGTTGTTTCGTTGGTTATTTCTAATTCTAATTCTTCAGCATGTTATGTGACATAGCTTATCCCAAAAGAAAATAGCACAAATGCGTCATTGCATGGACATAGAAACAATAAAGCCCTAATTCAAATTATATGGATTAACTTCAACATTTACCTGAAATGTTTTGGAAGCCGGAAACATGAAATCAAATTGCAAGCCACTTGGTCAACGTTGCAATTACTACTGATGCCTGGTTTCAGGGCTAGATCCACCCAATAGCCTCACATGAATCCTGAACAACTGCTTCACATGTTCCACAAGCTTGTTGTCAAGATCTAATAACATGACAACAGCACAATCTTTGTGCTATAGATTACCTGTGATGTTCTGATCAGGTATACAGCAGTAAGGTGAAGGAGCAGAGAGGCTGCAGGAGATATTGGGGTGCTGAACCTTCTATCCCCAGTTTTGGCTTCCTGATATGCTGGATATGCTGAGCAAGAGTATCTTCCTTCTACCCACCATTCTTTGAACAGAACCATCTTTTAACTCACATTTGAGATCCATTATAAATGCTGCATTCTCGAAACAGAACTGCTACTGTGACATCTACTTAAGATTCTTCATTTACTGTAATCCTTTAGGAGCGTCTAGAACACTGCTTTATTGTCATCTTGCTAGGAAGTGATAAAGCCATTAGAAATGGCAATTGGAAATGGACAGGAAGAGATGGAAATGGGCAAACAAGTCTTAAAAACATATACTATATTATTACACGTTTATTGCCTTGTTTCAGACAAATACACATTGTCTCTGACCCCACCTCATTTTGTCTCATACTACAGCTGGCAAGACACGGTTATTTCTCAACCCAGGATAGTTAAATTGCACAAATTATCTGGATGCTCCACTGTTATAGCTATGAGTAAACTGGTAGAAACTTTGCTCGTAGTTAAGGCTGCAATTTCTTCAGATGGTTACAAGCAGTAGGCTGCATTAATAACTCTGTAATCAGGAACTCAAATGTGGAATTCTAGTAACATTATTATAATCCTGTGATGAAATCACGGTATTGTAATGATTTTCAGCATGCATATGTAGTCAGATTAATAAAAGCCAACACAATTTTAAAAAATCTAGGTTACATATATAGAATGCCAATTCTTGTTTTGATCATTAGAGTGGGCAACTGGATAGTAAAAGTCATATTTGATAAGATACTATATAATTATTATAAAATACAGCACAGCTATATGTCCTCCCATTTCTTTCAAGTGTTATATTGCCATTTTTCACCGGATAATATTCAAGGAGCATCATATATTGCTTCTAAGGTCCATACAGAGAGTTCACCTAGGTATATACTTGTCTCTATTTAAGTGATAAGGATTCTTCCTCTTCATTAGCCATCCTAAGGTACGACAGCATGGAGGTTTGGTCTGATGTTGGATGTTAGAGAGGTAAACTTGTACTTCACAAATCTTTCTTGGCTTTTTTACTACGTGGAGCATCATCATCATCATCTTTTTCTTCTGTAGTTTGAGGTTTCTTCACTGTATACACCACTCCGGAGGCAGTCTTCCTGGCTTCTGAAATTAAAGAATGTTTCATACACCAATAGAAACGTATGATTTTGAATGTCGAAGGATGGGACCTGTACTTTGGGTGGCATGCTTATCTTTTTATGCAGAAAAAAAATGATAAAACCTTCAGAAATCATATAATAAGGACTGCATTGTTAAGAGTTTGGCAAAAGTATTTCTTTAAGTTTGATGTTAAGCTACCACTCTGGGTGATATCATCACATATTTTTCAAACTATAACTAGAGGAGTGGTGATGGAGGGACTTACATATAAAGAATTGTTATACCAGAGTGGTGGTGGCAACTGGTGCCTAAAATCAATAGAAGTTTTGAAGCAAAATAACCCAAATTTTTCTTGGCTTTTGTATGGACAAATTCAAGATAGATGGCGAATTGATAAAAAGACCATTTTTGTTACGGAAGACGGGAATTTTTTGAAGCAAGTAAGAGATGGTGCCAAAGGACATATTAAAAGGATATACAATGTTTTATTAGAATTGGACTCAGAAACTGAATTAGTTAAAGATTGTATGATTAAATGGGCTCAAAATATAGGAGAAACAATACCTATGGACACTTGGGAGTTGATCTGGGTGAGAAATGTGAAGTTTACACAA